TTTTTTTTTTTATAGTTATTTTAAGATAAAATTTGAACGAAAATACATATTAAAAAAGGTGGGCAAGTGGGTGTCGCTCTGCTGTACAGTAGGTTACAAGTGGGTCACTGTATAATGGATGATATTAAATTTGAATTCAACGATATAATATCATTGTATAAGAAAAACGATTCTGAGCGGAGACGGTATGTCAGTCTATGTTTAAGACATATTATATACATATCTATGGTATTAAACAAAAAATTGACCTTTAATAGGTACCTATAATAAATTCCAAATTAATCATATCACAATATCCATTAGATACTTATAACGCGTTAAACATCAACAAAAACCGTGATACTATCATAGATATATAATAGTACACTTTAGAAGTTTCAAGTACCCACGAATAGTATTATTCAATCACAACAAAATAACTAAAATCGTAATTCTTGGTTTAAATATGAAATTTTGTCTAAATTTGAAATTAAAATGTCTGTAAAAAATAAGTGTGTTTATATATTTTTTAGATTTTTTGGTTACAGTATGAATTATTTAAGAGAATCTTTGTTTTAAATTTTCAACTCTTAGCTATAAAAACTGAACATTTTATAATTTTTTAATTCCAACGATTGATAATTTTCGAGATTTTGATAAATTTTGTCAAAATTCCAACTTTAAATGCTTATAAAAAAAAATCGTGCCTATGTATTTTTAATATTTTTCAACTGATATTGTAACAATTTATCAGGAGCCTTGTATTAAATTTTTACACTTTTTGGCCCAACAGATAAAACTTTATTGATATTTATAGAAAAAAAAACTAAAAAAAATTGAAAGCTGTAAATGTCCATAAACAGCTCAAAAAGAGTCAAAATATTTTCAAAATTGTATGGTGTATATGAAATGCTAATATAAACATTCAGTGAAATTTTCATGTATCTACAGTTATTCGTTTTTGAATTACAACAAACTAAGGAAATCGCTACATGAGAAATCGAGTGAAAATCCAATGTTGTAAAAATTTGAATTTCAAACGCTCATAAAAATTTAATTTGACTGTCCGGTAGAGATTTTTTTATTTATAAAGGTAGATAATCTTATAAGGAATCTTGTGTTAAATTTCCAAATCTTAGATTTAAAAAGAAAAATTTTTACGAATTCTTAACTCAAAATAATTTGCTAATTTTCGTGATTTTTCCATATTTTGTCAATTTTTGAACTTTAAGTGCTTATAAAAAAAAATTGTGACTAAGGATTTTTAATATTTTTCATCTGCCTTTGAAACAACATATTAGGAGCCTTCTATTAAATTTTCAAGCTTTCGCAACCAACAAATAAAATTTTATTGATATTTCTAGAAAAAAAACTAAAAAAAAATGAAAAATGAAAATGTCCCTAAACAGTTCAAAATAAATCAAAATATTTTGAAAATGTTATCGTGTATAGAAAATGCAAATATAAACAACCAGTGAAAATTTCATGTATATACGTTCATTTGTTTTAGAGTTACACCAAAAACCAAAATCGATTTTTTGGAAAACCAATTTTGCGTAAAAATTCCCGTTTTTCCTTAATTTTTATGTTGTTTTTCCCGGCGCTTGTGAAAACTACTGGGAAATTTATACTTTTGACCCCCCAAAGTACCAACTAGATTCACTTTCCTATCAGAAAAGCTACTGATGAAGAAAATCCAAGCACTTTTACTGTCCTAAAACGTGATGACAGACACAAAAATAAAAAAAAAAATAAAAAAACACACATCATTGTAAAATCAATACATTCATCGTTTCACTCAGAATCTAAAATTAAATATTATATTAATTTATTATTATCATATTAATTTTAAAATATCAATTCATCTTACCGGCTACCGTATTAATAATAAGTGATAACAATAGGTATAAATATACCTAATATAAAATATCCTAGAGTGACAAACCGTCTCCGCCCAGAATCGTTACAATCGTATACAATGATATTAGGTATATCGTTGAATTCAAATTTAATACCATCCATTACAATAACCACGTGTAATCTATACTGTACAGAGGAGCAACATCCACTAACCCGCTTACATTTTTATAGACGAGGAGAACAAATTCTTAATATAGTAATTTAATTCTGAACAAATACGTGATTTAATATATAAATTAATTAAATATAATTATATACTGTCCCGACTCCGTGCGGCCCACACCACAGCAACCGTTTGTTTTCGCTGTTGATAGTCTATACAATATTCTTTTAATATTTTCGGACTCGTAAATAAGTTATCGACAGTCTTCTAGTCGCTTGTTTTATCCACTCATTGATATATTATATTAGTAACCTGGTAGATGATTGTTTATCGTACCGTGAAATGATTTCGTTTAAATTAGATATTATACCAATTTTAAATTAAAAACAAAAAAAAAAAATAACGAAATCTTGGAAACCTCTTGTATACTCGTAATGGTATAATGATAATAACAATAATATAATGTATAATATGATATATTTCCCGTGTTTCCGGTCACGGATTTGTGATTGTGCGCAATTGACATGACGTGTATTATTATTATTTTCGTTTTTAAAGTAATCCGTACAAGTGTATACATACGAATCATTACTCATTGGACTAACCATCCGGTCGGCTTTTCGGTTAGAATTTCTAAAACACGAAATAACGATCCAATTACAATAAAATATAACGACTTTAATTCGAATTCAAAACTGTACCACAGTTTTCATATGCAGGTACACACGTCATACATATTATATACATATTTTTGATCGCATATTACATATTTTATTTTGCTCCTTAGACATTTTAATTGGTTTCTACAACGGTCGAACGCCTATTCAAAAGTCGTCTCGACCGTTGACCGGGTATTATGGTAATACAATTAAGTACATAATATTATTTATTATGTAGGTATAAGCTTATATTATATTTATTTATCTACGAGACAGGAGCCCAATATCGTCAACATACGCATTTAAAAATCTAGTGGGTGTTACACAGTTCTATAATTTGTTGTTTAATTTTAATATGATTTAGTTGTATAATAGAATAAAGTTACAAACAAAAGTCAAATAATGACAATATTATACAATATTTTTCCAGCATAAGTGCTGGTGTTCATTGCCAAGACGTATCAATCGGGTGGTTTCTATAAAGTATTTATTAGAGAAGAAAAACATAACATTTCCCTATAGAAAAATAAGAGAATAAGAAGAATATATTAATATACAATTTATTATTATTCTGAATGTAATAGTATAAATAGTATACCTAAACTGTGGTTGATCACCAGATACTAAAAATGTTTAACGTGGTTCACTTGTTGGAAAAGGTTGGCGACGCCTGCATTAAGGATACAAGCCCAGCTTATATTATACGCATAACTGGCTGGTAGTCGAGTGCGGAAGATGGCCATTATTCAGTAAAAACGATGTAGAATTTAAGAATCGCCTTTGGACACATTCTATATGAGAAGATTTTAAAGCTGTAAATGGGTCACTCGACTTCTAAAATATACTCTATATCTCGAATATGTGTCAGGATAATATTAGGTTAGGTATAGTATAGGTATACCTACCTGTAAGTATATTGTAAGGAAAATAACGTGTTGGTATTTATTCAATTTACTATTTCACGTTTATTTCACATACGTAATAATTCGTTATACAGATACAATTTGGTGATGTGTAATACAGTATTTCTTTTGAATTATTATATATTATACTCTTGCGAGTGTACATAAAAAATATTTTAATTACGGGATTTACATAAAATATTGGGGGGGAACAGCATGAACATTTAACTCACGGTTTGTAGAATGGTATGTGGCGGGACGATGGTGGCAATGAGCATCCACGTACAGTGGCGCGATCACGGCGGCACGGTAATAATTGATTATTACCGGCGTGAACGGCTCGACTCTCGGTAAACAACAGTGACTCAGCTCTGCGTGGCGGTATGTTGGTTTTTTCGACTGGTGGTGTGTAGGACAAATTCAACTCTACCGGCAAGAGGTAGGTCAATGACCGGACAGCGGCGGCTATGGCTCGACGTTCTCGACAGACGGTGAGTAGATGGTTGGACGGCGGCAGCTACGGCTCGACGTTCACAACTTCGTACAGGTCGGCAGACACGTGGTTTGGACGGCGGCAGCTTCGGCTCGGCGTTCTCAAATAGACGGTGGCGACGAGTTACGGGTACAGCACAGTGGTCGGAAGGCGGCACAGGAGTCGGTTGACCTTCTCTGACGGGCGGCGATGAACAACTGATCGGACGACGGCGGCGACGGCTCGGCGTTCTCGACACGTGATGGTCGGTAGCGTAGGGAGTGCCGGGAAAGACTGTACAATGTCCGTTATCGGCGGTCAAAAAAGACCGTCCGGCTCATTGAGTCTAGTGGGCAGGAATTGCTGTAATAGAGTTTCGAAATTAGCATCCGTTCTCGGCGGTAACAAATACCGTCCGGCTTGCTATTCTCGCTTCTCTCAGCTGGAGAACTGTGTGTGTACGGCGGCCAGCGGCCTGTATTTATGCCATTCGAGGCTCGCTGGTCCCGTCTCGAATGTTATCTGACACCTTGCGTGATTCGAAACTGCAGGTTATTGTTCAGAGTGTTTGGAGATTACCAGATTATGGTGAAAATAACGCTGATTTTGAATATGTTCGTAACGTTTTGATAGCTCTATTGGTTCCCACGGAAAACTCAGGTTTTCCGTGGGCGGCATGCGTTGTTTAATCATTGCGCGGCGGAGCGCTATCTGTGGTTTGCGGTTTGCGGTTGGGCGGTCGATGTTTCTACGCGGCGGGCGATGTTTGACCGTGGGTAATGATCACAACGAGAGTGCGCCACGTTAATGGCCACACCGTTTTGTCTCATTACATTGTCCCCTTTTTTATTTATTATTTTTTTTTTTGAAGATTTTGGAGTGAGAGAAAAAAAAAAATAAAAATAAAAACTTTAAAATTTTGACGCTGTGTGCTTGTGGTGTAGTGAATTATTAGTTTGCTGTTGTTATGGTTGATATTGTTGTTTCATACCCTTTATCCTTTGATTCTTCTCCTTGTAGATCAGTCTTCGCAGGCGAGTCTTGGAAACATTTTCAAAGTCCTTCAAGTAGGCTCCGACCTTTAGTATACTCTTTCTGATCTCTACCGGGGATTCTGGATGGCGGTCGATTAAGTGCTTTATCGTCATGATGATAACCTCTGATTCGGTTTCACTTAAATTACTGGACCGGGGCGACTGTTCTTTTTCTTCATGTGCAGTAGTCGGTGCTGCTTCCTGTGGTTGAGTTAGGGTGTGACATGGTGTTGGTCTTTGCTCCCAATGTGCGATAAAATCATCCCACGTCATCCCGGTGGCAGATGGTCTTCGGGTGGCTTGCATGGTAGGTGGAAGGCTCCATGAGGGTTCCGGGTTGTATTTAGTTCTCTTTGCCTCCTCCTGACGGTAGAACATGGCTATTTTGCGTCTTTCTTCGATGGTTAGCAGTTCGTCGATGTGGGTTACCTCCATTTTGTGCAAGACCTTTCTGCTTTTTATTTTGGTCAATGGAATCTGTACGAACATCTTTCTGGTTCCTTCATAGTGGGGAGGTATTTGTGTTACATAAGAATTTAAAAGTTTATTACATGGATTCACAAGCAAGTTATTTTGGGCGACATATATATTGTTTTTTTTTTTTTTTTTTTTTTTTTTTTTTTTTGTTGGTTTAATTATTTGTTTGAGATACTCCGCTCACGGGTTTGTAGTATCTCTTGATGTTTTTGAAGTTGATGGTTCGATGACTTCCATTGATTTGGATAGTTACCGTGTTATTATTATGTACTGCTTGTATTTGGTATGGTCCGTGGTAGATCAGGAATAATTTATGGGTCTCCTTATCCTCAGCGGAGGATAACCTATGTTCTTTGATCAGGATCTGATCGCCCACGTTATACTGAGGGAATCGTTTATCTCTGTCTTTGTATGCGTTTCGCAGATCAGCTTGCTTTTTTGACCGTTTCATTACAATCTGTATAATGTCGGGGGGTTTCTTCAGGTCCTCGTGTTTAGGAAAAACTACCAATTTGCTTATTGATAACTTGGTTTTCTCCCCAAACATTATATAGTTTGGTGTATAACCAGTGGTTGTATGGGTAGTGTGGTTGATCCAGTATTCTACATTATCTAACCATTTTAACCAATTTGTATGTTGCTTATGACAGTAGGTTCTTAGTAGGCGGCCAATTTCCCGATTTGCCCTCTCTACTGGATTACTCTCCGGATGATAAATCGTTGTGTGCAGGTTGGTGATTTTCAATCCTTGCATGACTTTTTCCCATTTAGTACTGGTGAACTGCGTTCCGTTGTCGGTTAGGATCTTCTTGAACAAACCAATGGTGGGTATGTATTCACTCACTAGTCGTTTTATTATGGTGTCGGTAGTGGCTCTTTTTAACGGATATAGTTTGATATATTTGGAGAACACATCCAATATTGCCAAGATGTATCTACATCCTCCCTGTCCCCTGGGTAGCGGGCCCATTAGGTCGGCAGATACCATTTCCCTTGGTTCGGTGGGTAGGAGGCTTAACATTGGTCCCCTAGCCGTTATATTGCTTATTTTCGCCTTCTGGCACAGATCACATGTTTTGATTATTTGCTTAATCGTCCGATACATGTTTTTAAATTGGTGGTCCTGCTGCAACAGTTTATATGTCTTATACGTCCCGCAATGGCCATATATTTTGTGTGTTTCTTCCACCAGCTGTTTTACTGCTATCTCTGGCACCATGATCTGATAGTCACCCGAGGGCGCTTGACGAAATAGTAGGTTCTGATGTATCATGAGATTATGATTGGTCCTTTGCGTGACCCTTTGTTTAAGTTTCTGAATGTGTTCATCTTGCTGTTGTAACACCTCGAAGTCTTTGAATTGTTCTTTTAATTCCTTGCTGTATTCTAATAGCGATAATTTGTTGATAATGATTATCTTGTTGCTGGCTGTTGCGTCGTCGGTGTGTGACTGCGGATACCGTGTTAGTGTGTCGGCACCGACATTTTCCTTCCCCGGAATGTGCGTTATTTCCAACTGAAATTCCTGTAGAAATGTGGCCCATCTGACCAGTCGAGCATTGAGTAGTTGACACGTATTTAGGAATGTAAGGGCATGATGGTCGGTTAATATTTTAGTCTTATGTCCAAGTAAATAATTTCGAAATTTTTTACATGCGAAAACTATTGCAAGCAATTCAAGCTCCGTGGTGTTGTAGTTTTGCTCCGCTGCTTTTAATGTCCTACTGGCAAAACTGAGGGTTTGGTGTTGTCCTTCTTCCGTAATTTGATAGAGTTCAGCCCCAAGGTGAGTTGTTGAGGCATCGGTGTTCAGGTGAAATTCTCTCTTGAAATCTGGGAATTGAATTATTATATCCTCGAGGAATTTTTGTTTTATGTTGTCAAAAGCTTGCTGCTGTATGGTTCCCCACATCCATTTTGCATCTTTTTTGGTTAATTTACTAAGTTGTCCGGTGTCTTGAGATAGATCCCTGATGAATTTTCTGTAAAAATTTATGAAACCAATGAATGCTTGTACCTGTTTTTTCGTCTTGGGCGGCTGGAAGTTCATCACGGCTTGTATTTTATCTGGGTCCATAGATATCCCTTTTTCACTTATTATGTGACCCAGAAAAATCACTTGTTTTTTCAAAAATTGTGACTTTTTTCTGTTGATTGTGATGTGGTGTTGTGCAAATTTTTCAAAGATTTGTTCTAAGTGACAAATATGTTCTTGAAAACTCGTGGAAGTGATGTGTATGTCATCGACATATATGGCGGCAAATTGTAGAATTTCCGGTCCTAATACTTGATCTAAGATTTTTTGGAACTCGGCAACTGAATTGATTAATCCAAAAGGTAATACCTTAAACTGGTAATTACGGCCTTTGTGCAAAAATGCTGTAATTTCCCGACATTCGGCTTTTAGTGGACACTGCCAATAACCTGCCGTCAAGTCCATCGAGCTTAGGTATTTCGTTCCCTGGAACTTGATGAGAGTGTCGTCCATATTTGTTGGACATTCTCGATCCGGTATTATGACTGTGTTAATTTTTCTGGCATCTAGGCATAATCGAATCTCTCCATTTTTCTTCTCAATACAGACTATGGGTGATGACCATGGTGATGTTGATTTTTCTATGACTTGTAAATCTAGCATCCTCTGTATCTCGGCATCCACCTTAGGTATCCTCGATACTGGTATTGGATAGGGTCGCTGGTAAATTGGGTCCCCTGGTTTGACACGTATTTGACATTGAAACTCGGTAATCTTTCCAGGTTGTTCAGAAAAAATGTGTTCGTACTTGTTTAACAATGATACAAACATTTGACTTTCTTGATCGTTTAGACTGACGTGGTCATTATCCAAGTTGTCATTAATTTCTACGTTAAGCAGATGATCCTTGGTTATCCTTGGTTCTCTGTTGGCGAATGGTACAGTGATTGGTATATTATTGACGTTGAATTGTACTGTCTGTTTGTTGAATTTAATTTGTGCTGAATATTTGTTCAATATGTCTGCTCCAATAATTCCTTTTTCATTTAGGCCTTCTACCTGAATGAAATTAGTCTGTAGGTAAATGTCCCCTATCTTGCATTCACAAAATATTTGTTTAGACACTTTGCATATCTTCTTTCCTACGGCGTTGCTGATTTGTATGCCCGTGACTGGGAACTGTGGTATTCTAGAATTTTTCTGCGTGACCACATCAACTACTTCCTTGGTGAGCACACTTACTGTGGCTCCGGTGTCGACCAACAATAGCATTTCCTCCCCTTCAATCTCACACTTTAAATACGGGCTTATCGATGCGTTTGTAGCATTTAATGAGTTTACTGCATAAGTTTCACTGTCACTTGGTCCAGCTTGTGGGTCGGCACTTACTGACACTTGTTTGATTTGTTCCGTCTGTGGTGTGCTTTTTTGTTGCGCTTCTCCACCTTTGTTGTTATCGTTTGGCCGGTATGGTTGGTTGTTGTTCCATCGATTGTTTCGCGGCTGAAAACTGTTCCATCCATTATTCCGTTGATTGTTCCAATTATTGCTTTTTTGTTGATTGTTATTGCGGTCCGTTGCTGTCTGTTCTGGTTTTTTGTTTGTGTTTTCTTCTTCTCCCAGAATTTTCATGGCAGCTACTATTGTCCTCTCAGGTAGTGATACAAGTATTGCTCTTAAGTACCCAGGATAATGTTTGGCAATGTGTTTTACGATTTCTGGTTCTGATAGTCTTGGTACCTCCAGGTGTCGCAATTTTGTGGCCCAGGTCGCAAAATGTTCTCGGTAATTTGCTGTTACCTGACTCACATTTAAGCATTGGCTCCAGACTTGAATTTGAATTTCCCTGGACCAATACTCATCGATAAATGCTCTCTTGAAGTCTTCATAATTGCATAATTGAAAACGCACCGTTGAAAACCAACTATACGCGTTCGATTTTAGGCAATCTCCCACGACAATGATTTTTTCTCCCACGTACGTTTGTTTAATGGCGAAATATTCCTCGAGTCGACTTAAGAAATCTCGTGGATGTATGTCTCGTCCGTTTCCAAAAAATGTAGGTCGTGCAATATCTGTGTGATGCAAATTATTATTATTTATACAGTTATGCGCTGGTGGTGGTGATGCTCGTTGTTCCCGAAGTTCATATTTTTGTTCAATTTCTACTAATTTTCTTGCCCAATTTTCTTCAATGTTTTCTATTTTACTGACGTAGTCTTCTTTGAGGCTTTCAATTTTCTGTAACAATTGATTTACTAAATATTGACTGTTTCGTTCTACTTCCTCCCTGAACGCGTTAAATGCTTCTTCTGTGACATTCTTCTTTGGAGCCATGTTCACGATGTAGTTTTTCTTCAACAAAATTGTCTTCTTTTTTTAAATCTCGTGGGTCGATGTAGAATTATTTTCTTACTCGAGCACTGCAGTTGGGCGCCAAATGTAAGGAAAATAACGTGTTGGTATTTATTCAATTTACTATTTCACGTTTATTTCACATACGTAATAATTCGTTATACAGATACAATTTGGTGATGTGTAATACAGTATTTCTTTTGAATTATTATATATTATACTCTTGCGAGTGTACATAAAAAATATTTTAATTACGGGATTTACATAAAATATTGGGGGGGAACAGCATGAACATTTAACTCACGGTTTGTAGAATGGTATGTGGCGGGACGATGGTGGCAATGAGCATCCACGTACAGTGGCGCGATCACGGCGGCACGGTAATAATTGATTATTACCGGCGTGAACGGCTCGACTCTCGGTAAACAACAGTGACTCAGCTCTGCGTGGCGGTATGTTGGTTTTTTCGACTGGTGGTGTGTAGGACAAATTCAACTCTACCGGCAAGAGGTAGGTCAATGACCGGACAGCGGCGGCTATGGCTCGACGTTCTCGACAGACGGTGAGTAGATGGTTGGACGGCGGCAGCTACGGCTCGACGTTCACAACTTCGTACAGGTCGGCAGACACGTGGTTTGGACGGCGGCAGCTTCGGCTCGGCGTTCTCAAATAGACGGTGGCGACGAGTTACGGGTACAGCACAGTGGTCGGAAGGCGGCACAGGAGTCGGTTGACCTTCTCTGACGGGCGGCGATGAACAACTGATCGGACGACGGCGGCGACGGCTCGGCGTTCTCGACACGTGATGGTCGGTAGCGTAGGGAGTGCCGGGAAAGACTGTACAATGTCCGTTATCGGCGGTCAAAAAAGACCGTCCGGCTCATTGAGTCTAGTGGGCAGGAATTGCTGTAATAGAGTTTCGAAATTAGCATCCGTTCTCGGCGGTAACAAATACCGTCCGGCTTGCTATTCTCGCTTCTCTCAGCTGGAGAACTGTGTGTGTACGGCTTGCTTTGCTTTGTTAGAGTACTCTGTTTCAAGCATTTAGCTTCTTACAGAGAGGAGGAAGTACAGAATTGAGAGTGGTGAGTTTAGGCTTAAAGATTAGCTATTATTAAGAAAGTGGTTTTTTAATGAAGTGCTCCTTGGGTGAGTTTTTGGAGAGAATGTCGGAGATGTGCTTGAAGCTTGAGTTTTTGATGCGTTGAGTAAGTGAAACTTTGTTTTTTGATAAGTGATCTTTTAGTGGTGGAGTCTTTAAGGATGATCTGATGGTTTCGTTGGAGACATACCAGTCCAGTCCAGTAATTTGACGCAGGGTAGTAGACTGAACTGCCTCTAGTTTTGACCAGCTGCTATTGGAAATATTTGCCGTCCATGCAGGTCCCGCATAGGTCAGGATAGGTCTGATGTAGGTTTTGAATATATGTAGTTTTGAAATAGTTGAAAGAGGACTGCGTTTATTAATAAGGGGAAAAAGGGAATGTTTGGCTCCTTTAGCCTTGGTGATGATGTTTTTTACGTGAGTGCTAAAAGATAGCTTTTTATCTATGGTGACCCCTAGGTACTTGATGTTATTTGACCATTTGATGGGAGTGTCGCCAAATTTTACGCAATCTCCCGCTCTAGTCTGCTTGTTGCTGAACATAATGGCTGAGGTCTTGAGTGGATTGATTGATATTTTCCACTGATGGAACCATTCGATCGAGAGATCAATCTGGGCTTGAAGGTTTTTAATTGCACACGATTGGGATATGCTATCAGCGTAAAATAATGTGTCGTCAGCGAAGAGGGCTAACTTGGCTTTGGAGGATAATGGCATATCGTTGATGTATACGGAGAATAGGTGCGGAGAGAGGCATGACCCCTGAGGGACTCCAGCTCTTATGGTCTTGGGGGAAGATCTGGTATCGTCGATTTTTATGCAGAATTTCCTTTCTTTGAGAAATGACTGAATGATGGAGACCAGCTGTTGAGGTACTTGCATAGCCAGGAGTTTGAATAAAAGGCCCTCGTGCCATACCTTATCAAAAGCTTTTTCTATATCAAGGAGAGTTACTGCTGTTTTTAGCCTTCTGTTCATATTATTTGTTATGTTGTCTATGAAGTTGACTAGTTGAATTTCAGTGCTGTGCTGGGGGCGAAAGCCAAATTGTTCAGGTCTGATTTGAGGCAATATGTGACTTTTAAGTCTGGAGAGTAAGAGTTTCTCGTATAGTTTACCCATCGTGTTCAGGAGAGATATAGGTCTGTGGTTGGTTGGGATTTTTGGGTCTTTTTTCGGCTTAGGAATCATAATTATATCAGCAATTTTCCACTGGTTGGGAAAATATTCTAGACGAGTGCAAGAGTTGAATATTTTACACAAGTAGATCGCAAGTTTTTTCCCCCCACGTTTGAGAGCACAATTAGATATAAGGTCAGGCCCAGGGGCGCTTTTATTGGGGAGTTTGCGAAGATTGTTCCAGATTTCGCCTGGAGAAAAGAAGATGTTTTTGTCGTATATCGAGTTTAAGTGTTGTTCCAGGGTGTCTTGTACTATTTCGTCTACCCACGAAGTACTAGCCAGAGGAGAAAATTGATTTTCCATGCTTGAAGCGAAGATGTTGGCTTTTTCGAGAGAATCATAGTGGAGGAAACCATGATCGTCCTTAAGTGGATGGGAAGCTGTAGATTTCCTGAGAAGTCGTCTATTGAGCTTATAAAGTCGGGACCACCCTTGGGGACCAATATCGATTGAGGACAGGAAATTGGACCACTCTTCGTCGCGATTTGATTGTAGGAGATCGCTGACTAAACGATTTTGTCGGTTAAGTAGCGTTTTTATATCCGGGTTCCTGGTCCTCTGCCAGATGGATCTTAGCCTGCGTTTTTTGGTAATTTGGAATTGGATCGATAGTGGAAGGTCAGTTTTCCTGTCAGATGGGTTGTGGATTGTGGAGTTGATTTTTACGTTGTCGGAGATGAAATTGGAGAGATGCTGAATAGCTGAGTCAACCTGTTCCTCTGTGAGAATTTCAGGGAGAGAAAATGGCTTGGAGAGCATATCAAGTTCGTATTTAATCCAGTCGGTGATGTAGCGAGGTTTAGGCGGAGATATGTGAGCAGAACGATGATGGATGTCTAGCAGAATAGGAGAATGGTCAGAAGACAGTTCATTTGGAAGGTTCTCCAAATGATAGCTAAGACTACCTGCCTTTATTATGGCGATGTCAAGAACGTCTGGATTGTGATTTGGGTTTGTTGGATAACGAGTTGGAGAGGTAGGAGCTGTAACAGTTGTGTCTAGCCTCGAGTCTAGATAATTAAATAATGTTCTACCTGCAGTATTTGTGGACCTACTGTTCCACGCTAGATGTTTTGCATTAAGATCGCCTGCGATTATAACGTTTTGACCTGAGTCTAGAATGATGTCCAAGTCTGATGTTACAAGTTGAGTGCCTGGGCTTTTGTAAGCCGAGACAAGAGTAAGTTCCGCGTCATTGATTTGGATAACGATTGCCGTATTGTTGATGGATGTTGTGATGATTTTGACATGGTGATGAATAAATTTCTTGTTAACTAGGACAGCAGTCCCTCCGGCTGGAGGGTGGCCATTCACTAGTGGTCTATTGGTTGCGTAAGAAAAGAAGTTAGGGAGATTAAATTGGCTATTTGAAGCAAGGTGAGTTTCATTTAAAAGAATAATGTCAACCTTTTTCCTCTGGACTAGGTCGAGAAGTTCAAGGCGTTTCCGAGCTACGCCTTGACAGTTCCAAAACAAGATTCTGGTGTCAGCCATTGTGAGATAGGAGAAGGGGGATAAGAGCATTTAGAGTAGAGATGAGAACGTTTCTGATGTTGGCGGAGCCGGCTGTGAGCTCTGACAGCAGATTAGTGAGCAATTGGATAGCTTCTGGATTGACAGGCTGGCTTGATAATTTTGAAGGCTTAGGGCCAACTACAGTTGCGTATGACTGAGGGCGGATTATAGCATCTTCATTAGATGGAGGAGTGATGGTTGCTGGAGGTTGATAAAGAGTTGTTTGAACGCGTTGTTGATTGAACATGGGTAGGGATGCTTGCTTAGCGGCTTTAGTCTTTAAGAATTCTGGACATTGTTTGTAGTTGGCTGTGTGAGGGCCTTCACAATTAATGCATTTGGGAGTCTGTTCTAGGGTCTTGGGGCAGTCTTTAGCCAGGTGGGATCCAGCACATTTCACGCATCTTGGGGTAAACCCACAGTAGATGCTGGAATGACCAAAACGTTGGCAATTAAAGCACTGGGCTGGGTTTGTCGCTTTGTAGGCTTCTACCTTTACCGAGATATAAAAGAATGAAGATTCCCTAAATATTGACTTGCTGGCAGGGTTGTTTGGTAAGGAGACCATATGAAGGGGCAATTTTTTGCCGGCTTTAACGAATTGGCGGACTGCAGAGATTTCGTATCCTTTGGATACTAGTTCTTCGGAGAGTTCGATGTCGGAGATATCAGTAGGCAAGCCCCTGATTACGACTTTGAGTGTTTTTTCTTCGGGACTTGGAAACGTGAAAAATTCGGTTTCAGTGTTCTTGAAATATTTTTGGACAATTCTGAACATATCAGAGTCAGTGCATTGGATTTTGACCGAGTCATTCCGGAAAGCTTTGACTGTTATCGAGTCAATAGGAACTGCTTTCATAAGTTTGGACGCTGCTTTCCTCCATGCTGAGGTAGAAGTGATTAGTGGTGGAGGAGGTTTGATCTTTTGTTCGACAGGTGGAAGGTCTTGAGTGGGAGTAGGCGTTGAGCGGTTGGAGATTGATTTTCCCGGAGAAGAAGAACGGATGCTAGTTGGCAGAGATCCTGGTAGACCTGATATTTGGTCAGTTGAGGTTAGTTCTGAAATGGACGACATTGATTCGGAATCAGAAGAAAGAGATTCAATATCTTTTTGTTTTTGTTTTTTGGTTGACGATTGAAGTGAAGAAGCCGATGAAGTTGGCCTTTTGATTGTGTGTACGGCGGCCAGCGGCCTGTATTTATGCCATTCGAGGCTCGCTGGTCCCGTCTCGAATGTTATCTGACACCTTGCGTGATTCGAAACTGCAGGTTATTGTTCAGAGTGTTTGGAGATTACCAGATTATGGTGAAAATAACGCTGATTTTGAATATGTTCGTAACGTTTTGATAGCTCTATTGGTTCCCACGGAAAACTCAGGTTTTCCGTGGGCGGCATGCGTTGTTTAATCATTGCGCGGCGGAGCGCTATCTGTGGTTTGCGGTTTGCGGTTGGGCGGTCGATGTTTCTACGCGGCGGGCGATGTTTGACCGTGGGTAATGATCACAACGAGAGTGCGCCACGTTAATGGCCACACCGTTTTGTCTCATTACAATATATTTATTAAGACGGTTCTTCAAAATAAAAATATTATTATTTTTGCTTTCTCACCCTCTCCCATTTTGTTCATTATTACAAGAAGGTTATTTTAGTTAAATTTGATCATGATTATTCAACCTCTTCACGAGCCAAAAAAGGTTTGAACGATCGCAACATATAGGGCTGTTTTGTCGGTTTATTTTAATATATTCATATTGTATATAGGTATGTACTAGCAAACAGTGAACGATAGGTAAAAATCTAACCGAACAGTGAAATTGCTGTAAAAACGTATCATTGGGATTCGGAGTGAAAAACGAATGTTTCCTATACATAAATAACGCAAATACGATGGAATACGTCGTCCTTTGAATCTCTGTGTGTGCTTCGTGACAGACATAAATTGACTTTGGTGGATTAAATATGCACGCGCGCTCTGAGTCCAGAGTGATTTTTTCGGCCACTTATTGTGAATTCCACAGGTTTATGGTTATTAGAAAACCTATGAAAACTCTACAGTGATATTGATAATAAAAAAAAAACTGGTAGTATCAGTACGTAAAATTAATTTGTATAATATAATAATGATATTAAAGACAACGACAGTGAATGAATGAAACAATTAATAAGATAATAATATTAAAATTAATGCCTTTTGTCGGTGCGTGTTTGACAATTGACATTCAAATATAATATTGTATATAGGTACTACTAGTTGTATTATATTTACTTAACTGAACTATAATAAACCTACACAATATATAGACATGTACAATGATTGATCACGGAGTATATAGGGTACCTACCTAACTTATTTTTTCAAAGTCAAATTGTATTAATTTTAACTATTATAAATTATTCTTTTGTATTCACGAATTAAAAGGGATGATGGTCATTATATTATACTATATATTTTATTGAAATTTATTAATTTTAAATTAAGTGAATATTATATCTATATAATAACAATTAATATGCATATCATTTCAGCCTAAACGCGTATAACGGTTTTTTTTTTAGTTTAATTATATGGATTAATCGTATAGGTAGATGTTTTATTCCAACACACGTCTTATTAGGTATATAATATATATATATATATAGGTATGATAGAACATAAAATATTACAAGTTGTTCCTAGCTCTAAAGCGAAAACTTGTATAATTAATCGTCTAAAAAATCGTGTATAACAATACGATAACATATACTTCCTATTGTAGCCCGGTTGACGATAACAAATAAATCGCTCTGTATATGTCGTAAGAAACTATATGATATTATGCGCATATTGTACCTATTATAAAATAATATTATACATAATAACATACATCGTCTTATCGCGATATGCATATAAGCACCTATATATTATAATATCATATATTATTATATACTCGATATTCACACTACAAGTTACAACAAGACGTGTGATTTACAGTTTTCGTAGTGCCGCGAGCTTGGGGGTGGACGGAGGTGATATATTATATTGTGAACACTTTCTGTATACATTAAATTGTGTGTTGTGTTATTGTGCTAGCCCGAGAAACAGAACGATAACCATCGGTACTCGTGACCGAGCGGCTCTTTGAAATGTCATTAGGTAAATTTTGTTCACATCAGATATTTTACAGGTGGGTTTTGTTTTCCAGTCCGTTTTTTTTATGTAACGTTCGCTATTTTAACACTGTATACGCACAATACATGAGCGTACAATAGATTACGTTCTCGACCGTGAGAAATCATACTAAATCTGAGCGACTTGATATGAACATTTAAAAATACATTATAATATTATATTGACACAACATAGTTGTTGCTAGAGATATTTACGAGACGCGATCAAAAAGTTATACCATTATACCAGATGTTATAAAGCGTTACTAGAATTATTGTTGTCTGAATTTTACATAACTGCAATACGTAGCTGGCTCAATAATAGTGATTAACATTTGGTGAGGGAGGGGGGGGGGGGTTGAATCCCTACTACGATAATGTTGAATACTCTTAAAAAAAAAAAAGGAAACGAAAAAGTTTGGGGCTTAACCCCTAAAGCCTTCCCCATATTTGCACGGGTGTGTGGGTATTGATAGATGAAAAAATAGGTAATTTTATAGGTCGGTGTAACAGTATTTTGAGGGGTAGATCTCCTAAAATAATTTGAGCAACACCAATTTTTTGTATGATACACTCCGCTGTAGATTAGTTTACTTTATTATTGATCTTAATTGTTATTATATAAGAATAATATATGTATAATATTATACAACGTAAGGTACCTTAATTTATTTATAATCGGTCAATTATTTTATGCTAATATTTTTGTTGGTCTTGCGTAGACTGTATAATTATTGTAAAAACTGTTGTAGAAAAGTAACAAATAACAATATTATATTGTGTAATCATGTTTCACAATCATATAAAACATTATGTACATTTTACGCGGCGAGTGCGAACGCGGCGTCGCCGACGGAAACCGAAATAGGAATTACATAGGTTTCTCACAAGTATAGTTCTTACTAGAACCTAAAAATTCTAAAAAAAATAATTTAAATATAATTTTATATAGACTTTTTAAGTTCAAACATGGAAGAAATTAGGTATTGTAAAGAAACATAGGATATATTAGTTGTTTTGTTGTAATTCAAAAATATTTTACTTTTCAACGTAGGTACCTATATTATTATATTGCATACACTCAATGACATATTTTACAAATGCAATTTCTTTGGCAAAAATTAATTAAATCTACTATATTATTAATGTGTAAATGAAAAATAAATTACTATAATAAGTAACAATAATAATATCACAGTAACATGGTCTTCGCTCAGAATCATTTTCCGTTCACAATGATCTGAGTTTAAATAACAAATTACAATTTTAAGGTATCATTGAATTCAAATTTAACACATCCATTGATCCATTGCAGTTACCACTCTAGACACCTACAAATGTGGGTAGAACAGAGTGGTGCCCACTTGCCTAGCTTTTATTTCAATAGTGTTTTGGCGTTTATTAATAATAATACATAAAATAGAAACCAATATTGAATTATTAAACAAATACATATTTCTAATCAATACAATTTAGAGTATGTACCTATTTTACTTTTTTATATAAACTTCCAATCTATGACGGTAATTTGAACATAAAGTGTTACACTTTATTAAGCTTTGTCACTGTAAAAATGTTTGAGATGGTTATACGAAATTTCAAAGTTAGGTAAAATATTAAATTAATAATTTTAATCATACATATATACACATTGTTTATATTCAAACGATTAATATTTACATTAGAGGACTATTTTTACTTTCCTATTACATGTAATATTACATAATGTTTAATATTATACACTTTTGATATATATTCCTGTATGTAAAAAATTGAAATAATTATATAAATTACCACAATATCCAATATTATTATTAAACGTTAATTTAAA